TTTACGGAATTCTAATGTTGAAACAAGTTAGAGGCAAATTGTGAATGAATTCCCGAAATGAATGTAAATGATTTTCCATGCCTACTCAGAAGCAGGTTGGCCAGACCAGGACATGTTACGGGTCTACCTGAGGAGTTTAATAAATTTCCCGAAATTTTCCATAGGTCAATGAAACTTCTCTGAAGTTCTCCTTAGAACTACTCTGAACTTCTTTTCAGAAAGAGGCTGAAGTTCTCCTCCGAACAACTCTGAAGTTCTCCGCAGAACTACTTTGAAATTATCCTCAGAAGTAGTCTGAAGTACTCTTCCGAACTAGTCTGAAGTTCTCCTCAGAACTACTCTGAAGTACTCATCAGAACTACTCTGGGGTGCTACTCAGAACTACTCTGAAGTTCTCCTCAGAACTACTCTGAAGTTCTCCTCAGAACTACTTTAAAGTTCTCCTCAGAACTACTCTGAAGTTCTCCTCAGAACTACTCTGAAGTTCTCCTCAGAACTACTTTGCAGTTCTCCTCAGAACTACACTGAAGTTCTCCTCAGAACTACTCTGAAGTTTTCCTCAGAACTACTCTGAAGTTCTCCTCAGAACTACTCTGAAGTTCTCCTCAGAACTACTCTAAAGTTCTCCTCCGAACTACTCTGAAGATCTCCTTAGAACTAGTCTGAGGTTCTCCTCAGAACTACTCTGAAGTTCTCCTCAGAACTACTCTGAAGTGCTCCTTAGAACTAGTCTGAGGTTCTCCTCAGAACTACTCTGAAGTTCTCCTCAGAACTACTCTGAAGTGCTCATCAGAACTACTTTGGAGTACTTCTTAGAACTACTCTGGACTGCTACTCAGAACTACTCTGAAGTTATCCTCAGAACAACTCTGAAGTTCTCCTCAGAACTACTCTGATGTTCTCCTCATAACTACTCTGAAGTTGTCCCAAAACTACTCTGTAGCTCTTTTCAGAACTCCTCTGAAGTTCTCCTCAGAATTACTCTGAAGTTCTTCTCAAAACTACATTGAAGTTCTACTCAGAAGTAAACTGAAGTTCTCCTCAGAATTACTCTAAAGTTCTCTTCAGAACTACTCTGAAGTTTTCCTCCGAAGTACTCTGAAGTTCTACTCAGATCTAAACTGGAATTATCCCCAGAACTACTCTGACGTTCTCCCCAGAACTACTCTGACGTTCTCCTCAGAACTACTCTGAAGTTCTCCTCCGAACTAGTATGAAGATCTCCATACAACTACTCTGAGGTTCTCCTCAGAACTACTCTGAAGTTCTCGTCCGAACTAGTCTGAATTTCACCTCAGAACTACTCTGAAGTTCTCCTCAGAACTACTCTGAAGTTATCTTCAGAACTACTCTGGAGTTCTCTCAGAACTACTCTGTAGCTCTTTTCAGAACTACTCTGAAGTTCTCCTCAGAATTACTCTGAAGTTCTACTCAAAACTACATTGAAGTTCTACTCAGAAGTAAACTGAAGTTCTCCTCAGAATAACTCTGAAGTTCTCTTCAGAACTACTCTAAAGTTTTCCTCCGAACTACGCTGCAGTTCTACTCAGATCTAAACTGGAATTATCCCCAGAACTACTCTGAAGTTCTCCTCAGAACTACTCTGAAGTTCTCCTCCGAACTACTCTGAAGATCTCCATACCACTACTCTGAGGTTCTCCTTAGAACTACTCTGAAGTTCTCCTCCGAACTAGTCTGAAGTTCGCCTCAAAACTGCTCTGAAGTGCTACTCAGAACTACTTTGGAGTACTCTTCAGAACTACTCTGACGTTCTCCTTAGAACTACTATGAGGTTCTCCTCATAACTACTCTGAAGTTTTCCTCAGAACTACTCTAAGCTCTCCTAAGAACTACTCTGAAGATCTTAACAAAACTACACTGAAGTTCTCCTCAGAACTACTCTGAAGTTCTCCTCAGAACTACTCTGAAGTTCTCCTACAAACTACTTTAAAGTTCTTCTTAGAACTGCTCTGAAGTGCCCATCAGAACTACTTTGGAGTACTCCTTAGAACTACTCTAGAGTGCTACTCAGAACTGCTCTGAAGTTTTCCTTAGAACAACTCTGCAGATCGCCTCAGAACTGCTCTGCAAATCGCCTCAGAACTACTCTGAAGTTCTCCTCAGAACAACTCTGAAGTACTTCTTCAAACTACTCTGAAGTTTTCCTCCAGACTAGTCTGAAGTTCTCCTGACAACTGCTCTGAAGTTCTCCTCAGAACTACTCTGAAGTTCTCCTCAGAACTACTCTGGAGTACTACTCAGAACTACTCTGAGGTTCTCCACAGAACAACTCTGAAGTTCTTCTCAGAACTACTCTGAAGATCTTCCCAGAACTTCTCTGAAGTTCTCATCAGAACTACTCTGAATTGACATATCAAACTTTATGCTGTTACAAAACTTTGCCGGTAATGACCTTAATGACAGTCCACGGTCATATTATCCCTCCCGAGCAAGTTCCGATGCCCCCGACAAAGTGGTCATTTTTCGACAAGAACCAAAACTCGTCGTGAGACATATCAATCTTCATGGCTTCAGTTCACGAGTCCACGGTCACATTGGCCCTTATGCAGAAAGGAGAAAAGAGGACGGCAATTTTTGACCGTTTCACCCTTTAGTAACCGGTCCAATTAAGTTCAGTGGTTTTAGAGAAATGTGGTCTCTCAATACAATAGTCGACGATGACAGGAGCACATACCGTGGTAGAGGTAACAATAGCTGCAATTTACCAACCTACGACTAGATTCTTCCCTTCAGATAACGACTTGAGTGCGGAACAATCGATAGAACTGTTTCCACACATCGTAGGTACATGAGCAAATCGGCGATCATCTCTTTTCGCCAGTGGTGGTGGTGGGGGACACCCCTCACCATCCCTTTCGAAGTGGCGAGTTTGGTAAAGAGAGATGATCAACCCGATTCGTACCTTCCTCAAAGTTGTCCTTGCTCGCTTTCTACTCTCTATATACAATTTTTACACTGCCGTACTCTAACGGAACTATCAACTCTATACTTTCATATCCTCATCTATCGTATACAAATAACCACTTTAAGTCTGTTATTTGACGCTTAGCATCTTCAACTATCTCAATACTGGCTGAGTTCTCCAAAATCATGAAGTTTGATATGTCGACGACGGGTTTAGGTTCTTGTCGAGAATCGGTCTTTTCCTCGAGGGCACTAGAACATGGCCGGGAGGGCTAGTGTAACCGTGAACCTTCAATAAGGTTATTACCAGCCGAGTTTTGTAAAATTATGGAGTTTGATATGTCTTGTTGAGAATTGGCCACATCCCCGAGGGCAGCGGAACACTTCCAGGATGGCCAATGTGACCGTGAGATCTTGATAAAGCCATTGCAGACCAAGTTTTGGTACTGGTTGTGAATTGGCCACGTTACCAGAGGCACCGGAACATTTATGGGGGCGCCAGAACATGCTCTGGAGGGCTTGTGTAACCGTGGACTGTCAATAACGCCATTACCGGTCGGGTTTTGTAAAATCATGAACTTTGATGCGTCGCACGACAAGTTTCAATTCATATCGAGAATTGGTCACTTCCCCGAGTCCTATCGGTCGAAGTTTGAAAACACATGAAGTTTGATATGTCGCACAATGGGTTTTGGTTCTTTTTCAGTGGCTAGTGTGACCGTGGACTGTCAATAAGGCCATTACCGGCAAAGTTTTGCCACAACATGAAGTTTGATATGTCACACGACGGCGTTTGATTCTTGTTGGGGATTGTTCACTTCCCCGGGGACACCCGAACTTTGCCGGGGTGCTCAATGCCGTTCCAGAGTGACCCCAACGGAAACCGGAAACATTTTGGCATGGGGCCAAAATCGAACGGGTACTTTATCGAATAATCGAGATATATTTTTGTCGCGTTAAAAAAAAATATTTGCATTGGTTATCGCCTAGTTCGATGCATCGAGAAGTTATCGGACACCCCTAGAATCAATAATTGTGCAATTCGTTGAGCGAATGGTCGTGTTTACGTTGCGTTTATATTTTAGCAAAAAAAGCACAGACTTCCAACACTTCCGCTCAAAATTTGACTTTGAGAATTAAACCATTTAGAAGTCAAAATTTCACAAAATTTAATGCTCATCCAGAAAAGTTACGAATCTGTTCGATGTTCAGTGCTGTAACAGGTCGGGCGTTACAATACTAACTTCAATCGACAAAATCGATACGACGAAGCTTCGCAGCATTCTAAAACCTCAGTCGGCGTCTACAAACAAATCAAACTGAACATTGCATCGAACAGGAGTCGACGAAGAGAATCTGTCAATGTAACTTAGAACCTAATGCAATGTTCAGCTTGAAATGTTCAATCGCTTGTCTCTCTTTCAATGGTCTTTCAATCTTCGGTGAAGCGGACGGGTGAAAGAGCGCTTGACTTTGATAGTTTCGTCGTTCATGAAATAAATCAACAGAGGTTCTAGGACGTATATGACAGGAAATGTAAATATATTTATTCAAAGCATTTCTCACGTGAAAACGCTTGAAGATTTCACGTAGTATGTTCAATTTTTCTTCCAACCACATATTTATCTACTGAAAAGTAACGAAAACGGAACATAACGCATATTAAGGGAAAGTTTACAGCTTAAAAAAAACGTTTTGATTATTATTAAAATATTGGAAAAAAATTTCAAATATCTAAAATAAACTAATTTTTTTCTAATTAAAAAAAAAATCACGTGCCAAAACATTTTTTGTAAGTCATCATGGCCTAAATTTGGACTTAAAAACCACAAAACGGTGACCTTTCGGTTTTGCTAAGGGTCCAATTTTTTTATGATGATATAGAAAAAAATTTGTTTACATATAAATTTTCTGAGGAATCGATTGATTTTCTTGGATTTTTTATAATTTTTCTCAATATTTTTAGAAAAACAAAACGTGCCGAAATTTATTTTTTATTTTTAGGGCGGTAAACTTTCTCTTAAACAAATTGCAAGAGCGGTGATAGGGTTCAGTGAAAGAGATTGAAAACCATAATGAGGTTTCGTTTCAAATCGATAATCGACGTTACTTTCATTGGAAGCGATGAAGAAAATCAACAGCCAGCCTTTCGTTCGAAGCGTTCTTCTTTTTCATTATCGTTTCGTGCTGATATAAATGATGCGTTGCAAGAGACAATACTCGAGTTCATTTGAGAGCTTCAAAAATGTAATGCTCTGGTAACAGGTTTATCAACTTTTTTTCAAATTTAAATATAAAACAATTTGTTCCGATGTCACAAACTCATGATTGAAGATGAAAAAATACAAATCATGCCCCGGGGACCAATTTGCAAACCATAATTTCCATCCGCCGTCGTCCGTTTGTTTCGTGGGGTCGTTGTCGTCGTCAGCATTCTAACGACTAAGAGAAAAACTTTGTTACTTTTGCTACGCTTACATGTAAATCGCTTCAGCAGGGTCGCATAAATCTGTGTAATTTAAACTATCATCCTTTTTCTCGACCTAACACGTCCTACCTACCCTATTCTTCCCCTTCACACAGTCTACGGATGATTCCTTTTCCAAATAGCTTTGCCCATCTTCAGCCTAAACCATTGTAGAAATACTCATTGCTATGCTGTACAGTTTAGGCCTCACACTGCTACCCGTTTATTCGGGGATTTTACCATGCTCTGCTCAGCTCAGCCATTACACTTCTTACGAAACGCAAATACTTAACTCTGCACACGCACAGGAAAAAGGACGACCTCGTACATACTAACCAGGTCTTTTAGTCACAAAACACACTCACTCACACACAGTCAGTCTAATACCGTCCGCGCATTAACATCTGGTTGGTGGGTTTGGAGTTAGTTCATTATATACACGATATTAAACAAATATCAAACCGATTATACAAACAGAACTCTATACATATTGCGATACTCGTACCGTAGGCTCGTAACAGCTAAAGCTATAGGCGCTTCGGAAGGGAGCATTTGGGACCAGAATCGGAACATGAAACGCAGATGATTCGGCCCAAACGTTCCCTCCCACCGGCCCCAAAAGTCCTCGAATAAAACCCAAACGAACACTCACCCTGTAGAGGTTCCAATCACACAACCGTGAAGAGGCAACGCAAATAAAAGAAGCAATCCGTAGTAATTCTCTCGGCTTGTAGGTGTCGCTTTTTTTCCTTTCGCTGTCCCCTTTTTTTACATATTAGTTGTTGATAATTCTACCTGTAATTTACATCATCAGGCAGACAATCTAATGGCGATTCTTGAACCTATTTCAGCCGTCCCATTACCACCACATCAACCACCCCGTCACCCGCCCGCGTTCCGACAACTCCGATCCCGGTGACCTTCTCGTCTACCACGCTGGCGCCTCTTCTGGAGGAAACTTCCCCGCTGGCAGCACTGCTGAACGTTAACCCCATCCAGGCGTCACCGGAAGCCGACAGCAGCTTGGAGTCCCGCAGCGACGAGGAAGCCTTGCTGGACGAAGAAGAAGAGGAACACGACGACGATGAGCACGAAATCGAAGACGAAGACGAGTCCGAGGGACGATCCCAGCAGGATGACGACTCCGAAGGGCAGGAAGATCATCAACAACTACAGGAAGAGGAGGAACCCATCCCGGAGCATGACATCCCGGTCGAACAGAAACTCAAACAGATCACGCGCGAAATCGAAGAGATGACCCACTCCGATCGGGACGTCGACAACGGACGCCAGAGCTTCCTGTCGCTTTCCGATCTGATCAAGAACATCCGTCCGGCGGAGAAGGTCATCCCGCAGATCGATTCGTCCTACTCGAACACGATGCGCGTCCTCGGAGAATCTATCGCCCATGGCGAAAGTCGATCGGTCAAAGTCTGAACGAAAATCACCTCTCATCAACCCCCATGTCATCGTACCAACATCCCATCCACTCACACACATACACCACACTAACTCATCCATAATCATTAAGTAGGTTAGCATCTGCACCACGCGCATCCACACTCATACAGAACATTCATCATGATCATCATTCATCGTAGTAGGCTATCGTTTAGCGTTAATCATCGGAACAAAGCACTCCGCCACTCACTGAATCACCCCTCGGTTCGGGGTGTTTTGCGTGGGACAACACCTGGGACTTTGCTTTGTCGACTCATGTACACACGGCGATAGACGGATGAAATTTCCACCCGAAAGCTCATCCTTCTCTCGTCGAGCCACCCCTCATATCGACGACAATCGATACGCAGTTGACGAGGGTAAAAGTAGCCACGTGGACTTCCCGAAAACACCGATCCTTGGAATGCCTTGGGTGCTCGTTGACCGGGGAGTGCGTTTCTCTCATTAATCTCATTCGGATTTCTCATTTCATCATCAACATTCCATCAAATTGAGTAAATCATTCCCATCAGTGAAACATTTCAAACATGACAAAATTGTAAGTGAGAGAGGAACAAATCTGACAAACAGACGGAGCGGGAAGAAGAAGATAATTAGTTTTACCATGTTTAATTCTTTGACGGGCAAGAAAGGGAAATGATTTCTTCCCCCCCCCCTTAAAGAACTCAAGTTTACTAAGTAAATAATAAACAAACAAAAATAAAATAAATACAAAAAAGGCGATCAATCCAAGAGAATGATTAGACTGTACTGAAGTTTAGTTTGTAGGCGAAGAAAGAGAGTTGAATAAAACTTTGAGAAACCCTTGGGCAGTGATACGGAGAAGGAACCGTTTTATGAAAACAGAAATAAAGATGTGAAAAATTTTGTAAAAAATAAGACTGAACTGGTTTTGTTGAGATGAATGTGAGAAAGAACGATTTCCCAAGGGTCGAATAAGGTTTTGACTTGCCGATGACACTTTTTCTACCTTCCGTAAATTCGTTCTTGGTTCGTTGTCATAATGAAAACAAACAAAAAACTTTCGCCAAGCTATTCAACACATTCTTATACTTTGTACTTAGGCCTATAGGAATACTTTTCACAACAAGTGCAACATCTTTGAAACCTGAGTCGTAACATTCAACACCTAAACTACGCATCCTATCACAATAAAAATCTTTGCAAAACACAAACAAATGCAAACGACACGATGGTCATCGTGGCAGCTTTAAGACCCCCCGCTCCTCCATCGCCATCCTGCGTCGTGCCGCTGTCGGTAGTGGGCCGTTGCGTTGTCGTCGTCGTCGTCGTAGTCATGTGATCCGGGTTGACCTGTCCCTGTAGTGCAACTCTCCACTCGATCGCCGGGTAGATTGGAGAGAACTTCTTCAGGTATTCTTCGGTGATCTCATACTCACTCCAGACGAGCACGTCGAAGTTACGACCACTGAACATACTGTACCCGTCACCTCCTTCCCACAGGAATTGGCTGATGATGATCTTGTACCTATCGTAGTCATACAGGGCACCATAGGAAGGGGTCGTGCACCGTGCGCATCGTACTTCAGCCGAAACAACTCGATGTCCCGGAGGCTTACTCAAATCGTACACTACGTGCACTCCAGCCATCTGCAGAAACTCTCCGTAGCCATTCTTACCATCGTACCGATACACACTACGCTCCAACATTTGCTTGATCGTTTCTCCCGTTACTTCGGCCAGAATAATGGCATTCCCGAATGGCAGCACTGTCTTCAAATCCTTCTTTGTGATGTTCCCATCCTGACCAACCTCGATCGAAGCCCGTATCCCTCCACCCTGAATGAATGCAATCGATGCATCGGTCCAATACTGGCTGGACTCATCCCGGGACATCGTATAGGTCATAACCATTGAATCTGCGATCATATTTCCGATATTGCACTCCTCGAAACGGCACCTGGTAGCATCCAGAAGAACCCGAGTTTGTCCAATGACTTCATCCAGCTCCAGAATCCCCGGACGGTACACGTCCAATAGTTGCAGAACATCCGAGTCTCGATCGACTGCTCCATTCAGCAGGATCGGACTTCCATCAAACGACACCAGATTACCATCGGCATCAAATTCGACCTTCATGTAGCCCAAATACTTGGTGTAGGCGTATGCCTGAACTACCGGGACATCTCGGCCGGCACTGTTTTGCACCATCACCGGATAGGGACCTTCCGGTTGGTCAATGTCAGGTACGGTTCCACTGTACAGGAACGTATGCGAATGTCCACCGATGACGATGTCGATGTCCGGACAACTGGCTGCGATTTCCCGATCCTGCGGCAAACCACTGTGACCCAGGGCTATCAGGATGTGGACACCTTCCGCTTTTAGAGTGGCAGCTTCCTTGCTGGAATATCAATTGTTGATTATTGAAGGAATTTTAAAATCGCAGTGGTTATCATACTTGATGGCCTGAATTTCATCCAAGAAATCTACCGTACTGGCCGAGGTCAGCTGCTTCGTCTCCGGTGTCAGGTAACCGATGACTCCAATTTTGACCCCTTCCTTGCTGAACACCGTCGAGGGGCGCAGTGATTTTGTGTTTTGCATCGAGGGGGTCTTGGAGAGGTCCAGATTGGCCGTTAGGACGGGGAAGTCCACTTCGTTCAGGAACGGGACCAGCCCTTCGACGCCCAGGTCAAACTCGTGGTTACCGAGGGACTGAAGGGAAAGAGAAATGTCATTTAGCTGTTCTAGAGGTGGCATTGTGGGAAAACTTACAATTGCATCTGGCTTAAGGATGTTGAGGAAAGCAGCGGTGATGTTGTCCGTGTAGACGGTGAACCACGGGGTGCCAGTGTATGTGTCACCAGCGTTTAGATACAGGACGGGAGGTCCGCCAGCCGATTCTTTTGACCGGTATTCACGAACTCTGCAACGGAAAGAATTTCGTTAGGTGATTAACTTGGAAAGGCGGGCGTACGAGGCATGCAGGAGAATCTTGTTTAGAGATTCAGGAGAAGCCTTCTTCTTCTTCTTCACATTTCAAGATTATTGCTTATCGTATACTTATAAGCTTATATATACACTTCCACATTTATTAGAATGAAGAAGTGCATCAACTGAATTATAGAGAATCCCGCACGGGGTTTCTAACTAATCCCATTAGAGATTTAGGAGAATTTCAACAAGGTAATCCCTCGAACGTATTCAGGAGAATCCTGCCAAGTGATACAGAAACATTCCACATACGGATTTAAAAAAATCCTATCAAAAGATTAAGGAGAATCACGACGATATAACCGAAGATATTCGTCAGTGGATTTGAAAGATTTTTGTCAACTGATTCAGGACAGGGAATTCAGCAGAACTCTTAAAAATCCCGTCTCAAGACTCTGGAGAAACTCGGCGCAGGATTCAAAAGAATCCCGCCAGGATTCGGAAGTTTTCCGGAATTCCAAAAGAGTTCCTTCCAGGATGTGAAAAGGGATTCTGGCTAATTCTATCTAGGGATTCAGAAGAATCTCTCCAATGAATTCAAAACAATCCCTTCAAGACATTCATGAAAATACCTCTAATGGATTCAGGAGATTCCAGCCCTGAGATTTCTGAAATCCCACCAAACGATTCAGGAAAATCTTGCAAGAAGTATCATGTCAAGGGTTGCGAAGAATTGTGACCATGGATTCAGAAAATATTTGACAGTAAATTAAAGAAAATCCTGTCAAGGGATCTAGACAAATGTTGTGGGGGATTAAGGAGATGCCCGGAAAGTGATTTAGAAGAATTCCATCAAGGCATTTCGAAAAACCTCGCAAAGGACTCAGAATAATCCCGTCAATGAATAAAAAGCTTCCCTACAAAGGATTCAGAAGAATCCCGTCAAGGGATTCTACAAAATTCCATCAAGGGATTCAAGAGGATTCCCATATAATATTCTAGATAATTCCTCTAAAGGATTTAGGAGAATCTCGCCAAGTGATTCAGAATAGTCACACAAATGAAATCAGGAGAATCCTGTTAATGGAATCAGGAGATTCACGATCATGGATTCAGAAGTATATTTTTCAGTGTATTTAAACGATCCTCATCAATGAGTTTATGAAAACCCTACCGAGGGATTCAAAATAATATCATCTATAGATTAAAGAGAATCTTAACAAATAATTCAAAAGAACTTCGTCAAGGGGCTTAGGAGAATCCCATCTAAGAATTTTGAAGAATCCTTATAGGATTTAGAAAATTTTCACAGAGGAACTTAAAAGAAAGTCAAGAGGATTTCAGATAATTCCTACAACTAAGCCAGGAACATCCTGTCAAGGGATTCAGAAGAATGTCATCAGGAGATTCAAAAGAACCCGATTCAAGAGATTCAACTTGATTCCCTATAAAAGATAAAGAGTATCCCTCTAACGGATTCACTTTAACCCATGTAATGGATTAAGCAGAATTCTACCAAGGGATTCATGATATTCAGAAAAGACACGACTATGGATTCAGACGAGTCCCAGCAAAGTATTCAAAAGAATTTCATTGCGGGGTGTAGAAGGATCCCATCAAGGGACTCAGAAAAATCCCGACAAGAATTCAGAAGATTCCCATCAAGAGATTTAGTACAATTCTGTCAATAATTCAGGAGAATTCCGTCAAATATTCAGGAGAACTCCGCCATAGATTCAGGAGAATTCTGGAAAACTCTGGAGAATTCTGTTGAGAATGGAGGAGACATCTGTCAAGAACTCTGGATCATTTAATAAAGACTTCAGTAGAATTATGGAGACTGAAATAATTTAGAAAAAAAGTCTGTCAAGAATTCTGGAGTATTCATTCAAGAATTCAGAAGAATTCTGACAACAATTTTGGAGAATTCTGTCTATTATTCTGGAGAATTCTGTCAATAATTCTGGGGACTTTTGTCATGAATTATTGATAATTCTGTGTAGCATTCTGGAGAAATTTGTAGCGATTTCTTGAGAAGTCTGTCAATAATAATGGAGAACTCCGTCAAGAACTCGGTGAGGAATTCTGAAAAAATCAGGAAATCCGTAGAGCTCTGCAAAGCATTGTGGATAATTTTTTAAATAATTCAGGAACATTTTGCCAATAATTCAGAAGAATTCTGTATAGAATTCAGGAAAATTCTGGAGCATCTTTGAAAAATTGTAGTGAAATCTGTAACGAAAAATTCTGTTAAGAATTCTGTAGAATTCTGTAGAATTCTGTAGAATTCTGTCAAGAATTCTGTAGAATTCTGTAGAAAATTTTGAAGAATTCTGTCATTATTTCTGGAGAGTTTTGTCATGAATTTATGGGAAATATGTCTTGCATTCTGGAGAACTTTTTGAAGAATTTTGGAGAAATCTGTAACGACTTCTGGAGAAACCAGTTAATAATTATGGGGAATTCTTTCAAGAATTCCGCCAAGTATTCTTAAGTAATCTGTAAAGAATGCTGCAGATTTCTGTTAAGAATTCTTGAGAATTTGTGAAGGAATTCTGGAGAATTCTGTTAAGAATTCGGGAGATCTTTGAGAAATTCTGTTAAGAATTCTGGAGTATTATGTAGAGAATTAAGGAGAATTCTTTTAAGATTTGTGGAGACTTCTGTCAAGATTTCTGGAGACTTCTATCAATAGAACAGAATTCTCCAGTATTATTGACCAAAGTCTCCAGAAATCTTAAAAGAATTCTCCTTAATTCTCTACAAAATTCTCCAGAATTCTTAACAAAATTTCTCAGAACTCTACCGAATTCTTAACAGAATTCTCCAGAATTCCTAGCCAACTTTTCAAGAATTCTTCAGCATTCTATACATATTTCTTTAGAATACTTTACGGAATTCTAGACAGATTAATTATTAATTATTTATGTAATTATTACTAACAGCCAAACATAATCATTAACAGACTTATCCATAAATCGTTACAGATTTCTCCAGAATTCTTCAAAGAATTCTCCAGAATTCAAGACATACTGCCACAGAATTCTTGACAGAATTCTCCAGAATTAAAGACAGAATTCTTCAAAATTCTAAACAAAATTCTCCAAAATTGTGGACAGAATTCTGCAGAATTCTTGACGGAATTTTTCAGACATAATTAGACATAATTTTCCAGAATTTTTGAATGAATTAAATAATTTTCCAGAATTTTTAACAGAATTCTCTAGAATTCTTAACAGAATTCTCGAGAATTCTTAACAGAATTCTCCAGTATTCTTTACAGATTTCTTCATAATTATTAACAGATTTCTTCGACATTCTTTCCGGAATTCTTGACAGAATTCTCCATAATTATTAACAAACTTCTCCAGAAGTCATTACAGATTTCTATGGAATTCTTCATAGAATTCTCTTTAATTATAAACATACTTCTCTACAAATCTTTACAGATTTCTCCAGAATTCTTCATAGATTTCTCCAGAATTCAGGACAAAATTTCCTTGACCTCATGACAGAATTATCCAGAATTATAGATAGAAATTCTAAATAGTTCTGAACAATTCTGTCAGGAATTCTGGAGAACTATTAAGAATTTCTATCTAAAATTCTTCATTCATTCTCTTTAATTCATGACAGAATTCTCCAGCAGTCTCTACAAAAAAATTCCGCATTATTTGCAGGATTCTCAGCAATTTTCCAGAGTTTTCCTGAATCCATGGCGGAATCCTCCAGAATTCTTTATAGAATTTTCCAGAAGCCGTTACAGAATTTTCCACAGAAATCTTCATAGAATTATTGATAGAATTCTCCAGAAATCGTTTCAGATTTCTCCAAAAGTCGTTACAGATTTCTCTAGAATTCTTCGAAAAATTCTCCAGAATTTTCCTGAATTCTTAACAGAATTCTCCTAATTTATAGGAAAAATGCTCCAGAATGCTTTACAGAATTCTCCATAGTTCTTTACGGAATTATCCAGAATTCTTTACAGAATTCTCCACAATTATTTACAAAATCTTCCACAATGCTTTGCAGAATTCTCCAGATATCCTGATTTCTTCAGAATTCTTGACAGCATTCTTTACAGAATTCTTAACAGAATTCTTTACAGAATTCTTAACCGAATTCTCCAAAATTGTTGACAGACTTCTCCAGAAATCGTTACAGTTGTCTCCAGAATACTTCACAGAATTTTCAAGAATTCATCACATAATTCTCCAGAATTCTCCGAGCCTCTCCTGAATTCTTAACAGAATTCTCTTGATTTACTAACATCATTTGCTAGAGTCCGTAACAGAGTTCTCCAGAATTCCTAACAGTATTCTCCAGAATACAAAACAGAATTTTCTAGGATTCTTAACAGAATTTTTCAGAATTGTCCAGCAATCTTTACAGCTTCCTTCAGATTTGTTTACAGAATTATCCATAATAATTAACAAACTTCTCCAGAGGTCGTTACTAATTTCTCCAGAATTCTTCATAGAATTCTCCGGAATTATAGACAGAATTCTCCAAAATTCTTTTCCGAATTATCTAGAATTTTTGACAGAATTTTTTATAGAAATCTCCACAATTATTTACAAAATTGTCCACAATTATTTGCATAATTCTCAAGAATTTTTTATGGAATTCTCAAGAATTGTTGAGAATTCTGGAGAATTATGTATAGAGTTTAGTCAAGATTTGCAGAGAATTCTGTCTTGAATTTTAGACAGAATTCTCCAGAATTATTGACAGAATTCTCCAGAACTATAGACATTTTTCTCCAGAATACCTGACAGAATTTTTCCGAAATCTTAACACAATTCTTCAGAATTTTCCAGATTATTTGAAAGAATTCTCTTTTCTATTCCTCCGAATTATTGACAAGATTCATCAGAATTCGTTACAGAATTCTCAAGGGTCTTGGAGAAATCTGTCACGAATTCTGAAGAATTTTGCCAAGAACTCAGGGGAATTCTTTTAATAAATCTGGAAAATTCTGAAGAATTGTGTTAAGATTTGGGTAAAATTCTGTCAATAATTCTGCAGAATAATTTCTATAATTCTGGAGAAGATTTCTGTTCAGAATTTTGGAATTTTGTCCAGAATTCTTGACAGAATTCTCTACAAATCTTGGCATAATTCCTCATAATTTTATACATAACTCTCCAGAATTCTCTAAAATTCTTGAGAATTCTGTAAAGAATTCTAGAGAACTCTACAAAGAATTGTGGAGATCGCTGTGAAAAGTTCTGGAGTATTCTGTAAAGAATCTCTCAATTTAGGAAAATTTCACCAATGGATTTAGAAGATTCACGACGATAGATTCAAAAGAAATCCAGGTAATTAAGATAATCATATCAGCTGATTCAGACGGATCCTATCAACAGATTCAGAAGAACCTCGTCAAGGGTTTCAGAAGAATAGCGTCAAATGATTCTGGAGAACTCCATCAAGGAAATTCAAGGGAACCCATCTAACGTAATCAGGAGAATCACAACGATGGATACAGTAAAACAATCCCTTAATTTAAGAGAATCCCGTACGTTGATTCAGAAGAATCCCACCAAGGGAACCCCGACAAGCATTAATAAGCTTCCCAATAAGGGGTGCAGAAGAATCCCGTCAACATATACACGACTATCCTTTCAAGCGTTTCACGAGAATCCTACCAACTAATTTAGAAGAATCCTGACGATGAACTTAGAAAAAAAAAATCCGTCATCAAGTGATTTTGAAGAACTCCGCTTAGTGATACAGGAGAATCTCAGCGAAGGATTCAGAAGAACCCCTCCAGAAGATTCCGGTCAAGAGATTCAGGAGAATTCCGTCAAGATGTTCAGGATAATTTCGTAAGGAGAGTCACGAGCTCAGAAGAAATCTGTCGTCAAAGAATTTAGAAGATCCTCTCCTTGTGATAATCTCGTTCATAATGACGTATTCGATCATTTTTAATAATTCATAACTCGAAAACGTCAATTCCAATCGAAATGATGTCTTTGACAAAGCTGTAGGTAAATTAATTCCTATACACGGTAAAACAGTTCAAGTCACTTTGGACAAAAAATCAAAACGTTAATAATAATATATTACCCTCTTGAATATTTCTTCAATATTTTCTTTATAAAAAGCTTATTAAGGGTCTGGTACCTTCTGTGAAATTTTCAAGCTGGATTCTTAATAATTATCAGAAATCATTCAACAACACTTGAACAATACTTGAATCTTTTAAGTGTGTATTTTTTTCTGAAAAGCAATTATTTTTTTCAACAACTTCATCTCAGACGTAATTTCAATTGGGAGTGACGTTTTCGAGTTATGATTTGTTGAAAAATACCGAATTTCAGCTCAATAACAAACAATTACCGTTCCGATTCAAATTTCGGACGATTCAAATTTCGGACACTTTCATTTTTAATTAAATATTACATCCAGTTAGAAACAAAGTAATAATGTTAGATGATCGTGGAGGGCACTAGTCAAAAAAATTTAAAATTTACAAGACATGTGGATCATATTCGACCGAGATAATCAACTTTTAAAAGTGTCTGAAATTCGAGTTTAAGTGTCCGAAATTTGAATCGGCACGGTATGCAAAGTTGGAGATGGTCGATTGTTAATTGTTTTTTGCTATTTGGGCTGGATTGGCTCTATTACCAATTGACAAATCATTTTTTTTTTTCAAAGCTTTATTAGGGAGATTTTATGCCACGGGCCAATTCATCTCCAAATTGACCAATCTGCCAATTTGCCAATCGACGAATTGATTCTCCAGAATACTCACTTATGCGCCACCCGAGCGAATCCTCCATAGCACCGATTGCTAGCCACATCCGCCGCTTGGCAATCGTTTCCATAAGCACCGGTTTGCTCGAATCGTGCATGCATATCATTGTTATGCAGGATAATCAGCTCAAAGTTGGGATTAGCCTTTGGAGCACTCCGAGCAACCCCCACCAGCAGCAGCATCGAAATCAGCACCGACCGGATTATCATCTTTGGTTTTTGGGTTCGCCTGTAGCTTCCGAGCACAATCGAGTTCTTAATCTCTGTACGGCCGAATTTGACTCGTTCCTCCGGAGGATGCTAATGGTACCTGGAAAAATGGAAGGATGATTTGTTAGATGGAAATCTTTACTCTCTCTCTCTACCTATTTTAACGTGTAAAACGATTAGTGAATTGTGTGCTCAAATTATTGGTTTATGATTATTTTCAGGGAAAGTATAATATTTGATATAATTAAATTGATCACCCCGCATTTGCAGCGGTCATTAGTGGTGCAAAATTTAATTAACAGTATCACCTTGAATTTAAATCCGGTTTTGTGGGTGATTTTAGCACTTTACACTCTCGGGTCGAGTCAATTAATTATAGCAACACATTCATCACCCACCGGTAATTGATTCTCAACTGATTTTGTTTGATGAGCAAAACATCCTACCAACGCAAATTGGTTGTTTATCTGCCCACCTGAATGGTATGTTAACACTCGCAAACATCCAATCAATCATCAATCGGTCTATCAATCAATCATTTTCTGTGTCTAATCGGGCGAGAAAAGATGCCATATATAGTATACTCGCGTTGAAACCCCACTTCTGATAACAGCCACCCACACCAAGCGCACTTCAATAACTCGTTATCAGAGTTGGCTGCCAAACAAGCCGGGCCCGGGGGCACGAGTTTAGTGTCAAAATTTATTATGACGACTATTTTGAACAAGTAGGCTACACAATATACACGAGCGCTAATCTCTGATCACGTTGACGTCCGAATGAGTGGAGACCTAGGTGATTTATAGACCACTCGATAGATGGCTACTCCCAGGCGGATGGCGGAAGCGGCTGAAAGCACCGGGTTAAGAAAGATATGGCACGAGCTTTCGCCTGCTCTCAACTTAGCGTTATTTGAAGTAATTCCACAGTTATTAATTGAAAGCTTTCTATACCAAACAATGCATGAATTTGTATATTCACGAATACGAATTTTGTTCATTCAAATTAAAAATATAAATGTTTATTCTCTTAGCATATGAATTATTCAAAGTAAATTGAAAACATATTCAAAACAACAATAAGTACTAGTTGTTTCACTTAAATTCAAAAGTATGTTTATTTAAACAATATATAATTCAATCATATTTGTTTATTTATTCAAAAATATCTATTGGCGTTCCAAGGTGTAAAGACCAAATATATTTGACCAAATATTGCAATGGCAAATATTTGGTTTGTATTTGTCATTCCATTCAACTCAACTCGTCAAATAGTGTGATGGCCTTTTTATGTTTTGCCAAACATGTTTGCTGAAAACAGCCAAATCAAGCGTAACTATTCAATAACAAAAATTTGCGGCAATTGCTAGCTCACTCACAGAAACTAACAACAACAGCTAGTAGAGGAAAGATTCCCCAGTTTCGAAAAATCGTCGATTGAAGTGATTGTTTACAAAAGCAGATACGTCGATTGGAATAAAGGGTGATACGGTCAAAATTTGGTCAATATCAACTTGACGTATTTCTTTCAATTTTGCATTTAAAAAACCTGAACACCCCTCATTTTGAAGGTGTGTGTGTGTAGAATGTTGCTCCTATTTTGATTTTGGAATTCACTCTTCAGTTGTCAAAATGCCGTCCAAGCAAGAAGAGTAGCGTATCAAAATTTTGCTCGCGCATCGCGAAAATCCGAGCTACTCGCACGCAAAGTTGGCAAATTCGCTAAAAGTTGCCAAATCAACCGTTACAAATGTAATTAAAGTGTTTGGGGAACGTTTGTCGACAGCCAGGAAGTCTGGATCGGGGGGAAATCGAAAACCGGAAGCCGCTGAGACGACAAAGAGAGTTGCCGGTAGTTTCAAGCGAAACCCTAACCTCTCTCTCCGAGATGCCGCAAATAAGCTGGGTGTATCGTCTACAACCGTGCATCGAGCCAAAAAACGAGCCGGACTATCGACTTACATAAAGGTAGTGACTCCAAATCGCGATGATAAACAAAATACGACGGCCAAAGCGCGATCCCGGAGGCTGTACACGACGATGCTGACGAAGTTTGACTGCGTGGTAATGGACGACGAAACCTACGTCAAAGCCGACTACAAGCAGCTTCCGGGACAGGAGTTTTATACGGCAAAAGGAAGGGGAAAGGTAGCAGATGTTTTCAAGCACATGAAACTGTCAAAGTTCGCAAAGAAATATCTGGTTTGGCAAGCCATCTGTACCTGTGGCTTGAAAAGCAGCATTTTCATAGCTTCCGGGACTGTCAACCAAGAAATTTACGTGAAAGAGTGTTTGAATAAACGTCTGCTTCCTTTCCTGAAGAAACACGGTTGTTCCGTACTGTTTTGGCCGGATTTGGCATCTTGCCATTACGGTAAAAAGGCCATGGAGTGGTACGCCGCCAACAACGTGCAGGTGGTTCCCAAGGACAAGAACCCTCCCAACACGCCAGAGCTCCGCCCAATTGAGAAATACTGGGCTATTGTCAAGCGGAACCTAAAGAAGACCAAAAAAACTGCTAAGGGCGAGCAGCAGTTCAAGGCAAACTGGCTTTCTGCGGCGAAGAAGGTGGACAAGGTGGCTGTACAAAATCTGATGGCAGGGGTCAAGCGTAAGGCCCGGCAATTCGGATTTGGAAAAGCGGAAGCCTAACTGAATATTTTTCCTGAATTTTATACTAATTGAACTTGAAAAAGAAATTCAATTTGATTTTTTAAATAAACGATTTCACCGATTTACACGCGTTTTCCCTTGACCAAATTTTGACCGTATCACCCTTTAGGTAAGCTTGAAATAATTTATTTGATACTCTTGAAGTTGTTGAGTAGCAAACAACATCACATAATCGTCGCTTGCTGTGATCGTACTTAACCACTGGAATAGCCAATTTGTGTGATGTGAGACATCAACTCGAATGTATGTTTGATTAAAATGCGAACGATGCCCACTGCAGATCTTTTGGTTATTGTTTGTAAACTCCCGAACAAGTATGTACCTTCAGAATCAGTTCTGAATCAAGTCCAGTAGAGGAAAAAATAGATGTGATACGGCATATTATTTCACAACAATTTTATATAAGTAATCGAACTGTACTATTTATAGTCCCTTGCCGGATGTCAGACATGTTCCCCAGAAATTTGTTTCGGAACAAATAAACTGGAGAAAAAGATTTGTTTGATGCAATCAAAACGAGCTGGGATGAGTTCTTGGACTTCTCGGATAGATTCTGTGAATTTACCAAGCGGTTGGTCACTCCACACAGTTGGACACACCTGGGCTCACTCTTTAGGGCTAACTGTCAAATTTATGTCAACGCAATGCAAACGGATCTAATGTGGGTGGCAGCCGTGGTTATAAATTTTCAATTATAAAAATCAAAACATTCAAGTTACCAGAATCAGGACGATCGGAGCGGCTCGCTTTGTCTCAAGGCACTTTTTTTGCAACTTTCATGTACCTCAGTTTTTTCTTCACAGGAGGTTAGTATTGATTTCAACAATCAAATTTGTGATGGTTTTAAAATATTTCATCTTGGGATTTTTGAGAAAAAGTGTTTTGAAGTTTACTTAGATGTTTACAAAGGCGTATACGGACTATTGATGATACAAAACTGTTAAGGATCGAAACAAATTCAGCTGAAAATGATTCAAGAGGGGATTGAAGTTGCCCAAATACTAAGTTTCAATGCTATAGTAAGATTCACTCTTCAGTACCGTCAGATATCGTAACTTTGTCATGATCTCATAATGTTTAAATTAATAAAATAATTAAACCAACTATTGTCCTAAATTTAATATTATTGAGACATTCCATTGCAAAGGAGTGTACCCCATTAGGCATAAATACGTTAAGCATACGGACGTTAGGCATACGGACGCTAGGCATAATGGACGTTAGGCATAAAGTCATTAGGCATAATGGACGTTAGGCATAATATACGTTAGGCATAATGGACGTTAGGCATATAATACCTTGCTGCTGTGCAACTCTAGAAACCTGTTTCGAGCATGGTGAACAATGCTTAAATAAGGCTAAGCGTTGAATAAAAAATGATACGAGTTAAACAAGCATAGTTTCATTAATAAGCACAGTATGGAATTCATTATTTATCATATCATAAGTGACGTAGCTATATATTTACTTAGATCCAAGATTAGTAGCGATAGCGGTTAAGTAATCTGGCAATGAAAACTCAGAATAGTTTTGAACTATAACTTGAAATCAATCGCATCTAGAAATAAAAAAAAAAATCACACATTTGATGTAATATATTCTTACACACATATTACAATTGTCAAAGGAGAAAAGATTTTCCTCAAAGAACAGCTCATGAAATGAAGAAAGGTGAATTCTGTGATTTTTCATTCAATAACAAAAAACAGCTAAGGTTGAATAAAATATGATGCAAAAGAACAGCTCATGAAATGAAGAATGGTGAATTCTGTGGTTTTTCATTCAATAACAAAAAACATACCAGCTGCTGCTATACTTTTCGATACAACGGTTCTGTTTTTGTTGTCATCAGAATGAAAACTAGCGGAACCGTCTGCTGATGATGTGATGTGAGCGATACTTCCATGAACAGTGACGAGATGCCGAAACAAACAAGGAACTGTGGCAAACGTACCATCTGTAACCCAATACTTTAACTGCCCAAGACGTCGCAAGTTTTCATGAGTTCCAAAAATTAAGGCTCTTTCATTATTGTCACCGAAGTCAGCAATCAATAGACGGTCCCGATTATCATCCTGCTGGAATTCATCGGGTAGATTATGCCTAACGTCCATTATGCCTAACGTCCATTATGCCTATCGTACATTATGCCTAACGTCCGTATGCCTAACGACCGTATGCCTAACGTCGTGTACCCATTGCAAAGTGGTTCTCAGAATTTGGTAAAAAAAAATGTAGTTTTGTTCTTTATCGCAAAATATTTTCTTTATTTTGTCATAAGGGTGACCATTTCAACGTTAGGTTAGTCCAAAAAATAGTTTTATTTTTTTATTTTTTTCAAAATATTTTTTTCAAAAATTTATAACTTTTGAACCGCTGGGCCCATTTCAAAGACCAAAATATAAAATGAAAGGTAATTAAACATTCT